ATAGTTTTACTAATTTTTTCTTTAAAACTTCTTTTGGAAGTTTTCAAATTGTTTACACTTTTCAAAAAATTAAAGAATAAAATAAAAATAATAATTAATTCTCTATTGACTTTGTAAACTGATTAGTAATTTGAGACAACTAATTTTAATAATATGAACCATTAATATAAGATGAAAGAAATTTTTTAAACCACTTATATTTAGAAAAAAAACACAACAACCAAAGACATTTTTCTACTCCCTTTGTCCCTAATTACTTGTCCACTTTTCCTTATATAGTTGTCCCTAATTACTTGTCCATTTTGATAAATCAAGAAATGACAAAATAATTTTACCTATTATATCCTCAATTTAATTACTTTTGAAAAAAGGGTACAATTTTCTTGAAAATCTTAATTTTTTAATCCATTCACTTCATAATTTAATAGGTGTAAAATGGTAAATTCACTATGTCAATAATTGATTTCTTTATAGGTGTGCCAATTTAAAAGTGGACAAGTAATTATGGACGGAGGGAGTATGAATTAAGTTTGCTTGGGACCTAGATTTTACCTTTACATTAATAAATTGTTGTCTAAATAGTTGGAGATTGCTTTGCGTGAAAGCTAAATTGATCAGCTAATCATGATGGGTACCATCATTAGTAAAGTGCCTTAATTAATTTCTGTCGGAGAAGTTAGATATACTTTTCAACTATCAATAAATTAAACAGACATTAAAGTCGTAAAAAATAATTTTTATTTACTAAAATCGTTACATCAATCCATACCATAGTTTGTACAAAGAAAAAAGTATGAAATAATTGAAAATGTAGCAATTTAGTAGTATATACATGACACATTTCTTCGTATACATTACTATCACAAAATGGTCCTTATGTGTGAGTAATATTTTATTTTGGTCATTAATAAATGGAAAAAGGCATAGATTTCTCCTTGAACTTATACCGAAAAGTCAGTTACACACTTAAACTACCATGACGATCTATTACACACCTCTGCTATTTAAAAGTGAATTTAATACCACCTTGCTATGTGCAACACCACTCTCATAGTATGTGGTGTATTACACTCGCTGCCACATCAGCGCTACGTCAGCGTCATGTCAAAAATTGTATTTTTTAATATCTTTTTTACTTTATTTTCTTTATTACTTAACTTTTATTTTATTAATTATATTTTACACTAATTAATTCCTAATCAGTTATTAAAATTCTCTAATAATTATATCTTCTTCATTGCAAAATGGTAAAGAAGAAACTTTTAGCAATGACCACCAAGGAAAATTGCCCGCAATCTGGAATTGATTCGTGGAGTGGAAGAATTCTTCCATTCCAAAATGTACCCACAAGAAGGTTGCTTCAGTTTCTTCCATTGATTGGCCATGGAAACTAAGCTTTCATTGTTATTTGTTGCGGCTTGTAGTTGTATTGGGTATACATTCTTTGTTATTTTTTCATGTTCTTCATGGAGATTTCTTAAAAAATAGAGATAATAGAAAATAATTTTCTTCCCATTTTCAATTGATCACTCAACACTCAAAAACGTCCGCCGAAGCCCCACCAATTGAAACCTCCCAAAGTTTTACTCCTTTTGGAAGTAATTTATTTCTTGGTTGCTTATTCTTATTGGTTTATTTTAAGCTTAATGGGGTGTGAAGAAGAAGAGGAGGGTGGGGTGTGAAGAAGAAGAGATGTGGGGGTGGGGTTTAAGAAATATTTTGATTTTTAATTTTTTTTTTTACTTTAATAATTATCTGACGCGCATGTTTTTTTTTAAGTATTATTATTTTGTCATGTCAACTTTAGGGGGTAAATAAATTCACTTTTAAATAGTAGAGGTGTGTAATAGGTCATCATGGTAGTTTAAGCGTGTAACTGACTTTTCGCTACAAGTTCGGGGGGAATCTATGCCTTTTCCATTAATAAATTTCACTTGATTAAAATGGTTTTAATGTATAATAGATGAGTTCATTTTGGTCCTTAACATATTAGACTTAATTGAAACGATCTTTAATGTATAACAAATGTGTTATTTTGGTCATTATCCTAAACTTAACAGATTTATCAAAAAATTATTAAATTTAATTATGAACCCCACGTGGCTAACAAAATTCACCGTTGATATAATGAAATCTAATACTATTTTCTTTACTTTCTCAAACAAAATTTATTATTTTTTCTTGCTTAAAACAAAAATGAGTATAAAAAAAGATAACAAGGGTAAATTTTGTTAGCCACACAAGGTGAATAGTAAAATTTAACAGTTTTTTAAAAGATAAGTTTGTTAGATTTAGAGAGAGAAAAACAAAATGAACACTTTTTGTCATGCACTAAGGGTCATTTCAATCAAGGGAAATATCTTAAGGATCAAAATGAACACATTTGTTATATATTAAAGACTATTTTAATTAAGTAAAATATATTAAGGACCAAAATAAAGCATGATCATGTTCGATTAGTATCATCAGGTGTAGACAACGAGTGTGGGTAAATTCTTTCTTACACTATTCTAACCGCAAACTTATTAACCAAATGAAAAGAAAGAAGAGAACATAACAGCCCAATTTATGTTTATATTTAAATCGATCAAGTAATTAACCTTTTTTTCTCAAATATTTTTATTGATGACACAAAAAAACCAAGGCCTCGGCCCTCCATATCCCCTACTAATATATAAGACGGGATGACCAGGCAGGTCATGGCCGACATGCCTGCCTGACAGCTTTTTCTATATTTAATTATTTTTTTTCGTTTTAATTTGTTTGTTTTATTTTTGAAAATTGTGTAAAAAAATACTATAAATCATGATAATTGACAACTTAAATTATTTTTAAAAAAAGATATAAATAATTTAATTGCTTATAAAGGAATTGATTGATTCATAAAATTAATATATTTGTTTCACATAAAATAGGATAAATTAAGGAACATGTATTATTTAATTTGGAAATTACATAAAAAGTATTATAAATCTCAATAATTAACAACATTTGATTGACTCTTGAAATTCTATTTGTGTTACATATATTGAGACAAGAGAAGTAATATGTATCGTTTAAAAATTAAGTAAAAAGTATTATAAATCTCAATAATTAACAACATTTGATTGACTCTTGAAATTCTATTTGTGTTACATATATTGAGACAAGAGAAGTAATATGTATCGTTTAAAAATTAAGTAAAAAGTATTATAAATTATAATCATTAACAATTAAAAATATTTAAAAAAATCATATTAAATTTTAATTGACTCTTTAAATTATATCTATTTCACATAATGTGAGAAAAAAAAATAACAGATATTGAATCTGTATTAACACGACCGCTTGTGTCTAGTAAATATCATAATTGAACACTGATGGTGGAGTAGGACCATTTCTAAATTATTAATTTTTTTTCGTGTGTGTTGTTATTGTACAAAAAGGAAAATGGTACCTGTCTGCCATTCTGTGTTGCTTAGAATTTATTGATTGGACTAATCTAAATATTATCACGGAGAATTATTTTATGCAGACGTGCTGATTACAAATAATAATAATGAAAAAATTGTTAATCAATATCTTATGAATTGACTAATTAATTAATATATTTAAAATCAATAACTAATAGATTAATCATAATTATCCGTTTGATAAGCAACTCAGATCAATAAGTAAGAAAAGGAAGGACATGCAGTTACGACTCAAAAGTCAAAAATATTAAATTAAGTTTCCACCTAAAATAGAGAAATTATCGGAATATTATTTTGATTAAATAATTGCTCTGTTTAGAAGAGGACTGCCTTTTTTTTCTTCGAAGCTGATGTAAAGGAATAATCCCAAAGAAAAGCAAGCTTGTGTTTTCTCCAGCCTTTTAAATTCTTTTTACTTTTTTATTTCATTCGATATTTGAATCGGAGCCTTTTAAACTTGAATTTATGAAACGTCTTACATTAGGAGTAAAGCACTCCGTTAAAAAAGCAACTTTGTATTCGATACAGTCAAGGTCTCTAATTAAAAATATATTAACTGCTCCAAGCACTCTGTTAAAAAAAAAAAGTATCTCCATATTCGATATATTTGAACTCAAGATCTCTATTTAAAAATTAATTACTACTCCACCATAACTCGAATTGATTCTACTTCTACCTTATAACGGTCTGTTGACAGGGACATATTATCCACCATTCCTAATTATAAAAGGTTCCTCTGTGAAGCAATATATGCTTGCAAATTTGCCGTTTTGCTACTTTTGTTTTTCTTTCTGGATCGAATTTTAGTGAAAAAAATTCCCAATTCAGAAGAAAGCTATTCTGGTTTGGATTCTTTATAATATTGGGAAGTGAAGTTGTTTGTTTCTCTTCTTGGTTCTATATATGCTTTTCCCATAAGAGATTAAACTTGATCTGCTTTATTCCAAGTAAGCGAAGTTTCCTACTTTTAACTTAAGTTTATGTCTTTTTCTTGTAATAGGAGAATTTTTGGGCGATACAATCCCTTTCCTTGGATATTTTTTTCTTTATGTGAATTTAGTTACTCAGTACTTTAGTAAAATACACCTTCATAAGTAAGCAAGTTTCCTACTTACTCCTTAGTTTCATTTTACTTATTCCTATGTTTTTCTATTGAATAACTATATAACGTAATTTAATAAAATATATTTCTAATAAAAGTTTTTGCAGTGCCCACTAAACATGGGTAAAGTAGAATGAAAAGGAGTACATGTTGCTTGTTACTCTCTCTATTTCATACTAAAGTGGGTTGTTTGGATTTTTTTCATTGTTCAAAATAATTATTTAATTTATTTTTTATATTTGTCATTTTCTTTAATTAAAACAGAAAAAAAAATAGTAGTAAAAGATATACTAGTAATTTAAATTATGTCCTTAAATGACATAGAACTACTTTTTTATTTATAACTTTTTAAAATAATTTTAAATTATTTTTAAACTTGTCCAAACACCTTTAAAGGCTAAAAATGAATTAAAAAATAATTTTAACCAACTTTAAAATCAATTTAAACAGGCTCTAAGCCAATCCAAATGGGCTCACATTCTTTTTCTTTACGAAGGAATTTCACTTTAAATAGTGCCAGCCTTAAACTCTGAAGTGAACATTAAGAAGGCACAGAATTCGATAAAATTACAAACTTTCATAAATGTCATCTAAGAATAAATATATGCGTAATCTCTACGAAAGCTTAAACAGTACTTCAACTCTTTTCTTTTCCAAATAATGCCCCTTCAGTTACACCTCAATTAATACATCCAGGTAGGAGGCAAGATTGCAGTTCACCCAGGCAAAACCAGAATCTTAAAGAACATGTCTTCAAATCAAGTACTAAGACTAAGTCCAATTCAACTCAATTTCAGTCAGTACCACACCCTGGTCTCCTTAAATCAGGTAAGCCCCTTTTAATTGTTGATTATTTCATCTAAAAACTTTAATTGAGAGAGAACATCCGTTTATCGAATTTGTTGAAATAATACAGGAAGATCAAGATCAACGACAGGCTGCGTTAGAGTACGTTCTTAATGTGATTGTTTACTCCTCTGTTATCCGTAAGTTTCTATACACAAAAATCATGTGTGAAATTGATGTTACTCTATGAAATTAACAATTCTGATTTGAATTAGTTCTTTTTTTTTCTTTTTTTTTTCTTATCAGTGGTGTTGCTGATGGTTGCGGCGTTGTTAATTAAATTACTTGGAGTTTGTGATGGGGAAATGGCAAGAAATGATGATACTATAAGAAGAGAAACAGACAGATTGATATCGAAAGCAAGTGCGTCTTTGACATACGGAACATGTGATGAAGATGATTTGGAATCGGGAAATTGCAGTCGTTCTAGTTCCTCAGAGGATTTGTATGATGAAAATATATGTATAGTTTGCTATGACAATAAACGAAATTGCTTCTTTATTCCTTGTGGCCATTGTGCGACTTGTCACTCATGTGCTAAGAGGTAATGTATACGGAACATTTAAGTTATATGCATTTGTCAGTATAAAAACTTATACGGGTATTGATTTTGTTGATCTGCAGGATTACAGAAGAAGAAAACAAGAATTGCCCAATTTGTCGAAGAGTAATTCGGAGAGTTAGAAGAGTGCTTCTTGCATAAACTCAGTATTTCCCTTATGTAAATGATGCAATTGACTCTTTCTAATTCAACAATGGTAATATTAGTATAGTACTTCTTAATTTTTACTGCAAGTTGCTGACTTGCAATTTGACAGGAGCAGGTGAAATATGATGTAACATAACATGTTTGTTTATGTGTACACTCATTGGTACTAATTACTTGGGTCCCTTTTTGAAGGCTTAAGTCATAGTTGTCCGCATAATTCACTTAGACACTTCAACTTATCCCTGTGTCAATTGAACATCCTATTTGTTCAAAAGTCATTCATATTAGACACAAAATGATGACATGGCAAAAACGTATGATTCACTTTCTTTGAGCACGTTGAGTTATTAAAAATTAATATATATTTTTCCCCCTTAACTTATGCACCTAAATTAATAAAAAAGAAAAAAAATAATTAACAAAAAAAAAGGAGCAGTCGTCTTCTTCCCCATCCCTACATCTATTATTCCACCATTTTCATCATTTTTCTTACACACATGCGCACACCACACCCCACCCCACCCCCTCCACCTCTCTCTTTCTCTCACCCTTTGCCATTCTTCTTCTTATTTTTTTTATGTTAATTTACGTCTCAAATATCTCGATGAAGCTCAATTTATTACATGAAAAAAATATGAATTGATTTTTTTTGGCAAAAGTTTGTTATTATTTGTTTCAATTCTAATAAGTAGTTACTAATGGATAGAAGATGAAGACAATGAGTAAAAAAATTTCATGCTATCAAAATGAAAGAGAATGAATATTTAGCTTGAGTGGATAGCAAGGGTGTATTTTGTACTGCCGACGCCAATGAAAGAGCGGAAAGAGGTAGAGCGATGGTTTGCTGGCATCGCCGGTGCCGACACCAGCTCCGGTGGAAGGGAAAAACAGAATTTATATTTGCCATTGTTGATTTAGAAGATTAGGAAGAAAAAAAAAAGGAGAATAGTGTTCTGATAGGTAGTAGGGAAGAACTTGGGTGGTTGGTAACAATGGTAACTATTAGAGTTTTTTTTTTTTTTTAAATCTAAACGATTTGCCATTGTTAATCTATGGTAAAGAATAGAAAACAAAAAAGAGAAAGAGCCGGTGGGGGCTGGTCATGGGTAGCAGGGCAAAGGTTTGGTGGGGTAGGGGAATTGTGCATGGATTACAAAATTTTATTTTATTTTTTATTATTTAAAATATTTTTCTTCACTCATATTGAATTATATTTTTAAATAATTTTTTTGGATTCAACTGACACATGTCATTATTTAATTTGTCATAGCGAGTGTATCTCACACACTTAATATTTTGACTGATTGTCCAAAAAATGTCAAATAGGTATCAATTCAAAGTACTAGAGGTGTTAAATAGGTATAATGCTTAGTTGAGGTGTTCAAGTGAAATATGCGAACAACTTTAAGGGACTGTGTATGACTTAAGCCCTTTTTGAGAAAGCTATATGGATGGTAGTAAAATGGGAAAAAGTAATTCCTACAACGTAACAAGGGGCACAGTTCATTATTGAAAATTTCGAGTCAGAAATTCCAGTTTTTCGTTTTTAAAAAGTATTAAGTATATGATTATCATATTAAATTGATTTGTTATAGTTCAGTATTTGATTTTGATATTTTGCGGACAACAAATTCGTAAGAGTTTGACCAGAAAATTAAAAAAATTATAATATCTTTTTTATTTTAAAATAAATTGATCTTTTCCCATTTTTAATTAAAAGGTATTAAAGTTAAAAGGGTAAAAATGTTCAAAAACATAAAAATAACATAGGTAAAATACAATTCTGGCTAAATTTTCTGGCAAAAAGAATTTTTCCATTTGTTAAATATCAACTTGTAATAACGTACTAATAGATAATTATGATTTTAGCTTTTCAAAAATACTCAAATATTTAAAAGAAAATATAATTAGTTCCTTTCATTAATTAGCTACCTAAAATTGACATTTGCATCAAGATAAAGTAGTTAACAATTAATGTCTAAATAATTAATTTTGCACTAATACTAATTTACAAATTTATTAGTACTATATTAATACATATAAATTGTAAGTATAATTATATATATTTTGATATAGTATTTGTCATTTATGAAATAAATATTTATAAATATAGAACACTAAAAAAATTAAATAAATACCGAAGAATGAAGATCATATTATTGAAATCGTGATATTAAAAGTTTTCGATATCTAGTATACTATGCCTCCCCTTCCCACAACACACTACATTTGTTCTATTGAAATGTTGAACTTGCGTTTATTGGCATACAAACTGTCAATGTGGGCCTGAATGTTGGCTATTTAAGCCCGTAATGATTTTTAATCTTATGGGCCTTTAACACTCTTTAACCCAAATACTACTGGGAAAAAAATTCCAATTTAAAGATGAGGATTTTACCTAAACAGTCAACATCAACTAATAATATGCATATAGGCATAACCAAAATAAAATCAGTAAATTATACATCTAAAAATCTAGGCATAACTTAATCAATCAAATAAAGAAACTGCTATATAGTAGTAATTTATATAGCATAAATACTTTTTATCTCTTATTTGTTAGGCCTAAAAATAGGTACAACTTAGCCAATTAGGTAAACTCCTTCCTTTCTCTTTAACTTTCCGTCTCTCTTAGCCAATTGTCCCTTTCTTTTATTTCTTTTTTAAATGCAAATAAATGTATAATAATTAATAAAAAATACATGAAGCAAATGGTTACCGCATATTTTGTCTACATTTTATTGAAGTTATCACTAAAAATATTTATTTGAACCGAATGTAAAATACTTTATATTAAATTACAAATTTATTATATTTATGTATACATGAACTATGTATATATCTCACAAAATCACCTCCATTAAATTGAACGTATACATACACTTATTGCATACATCAACAACATTTCAGAAGTATTTTTAAAAGTATATCACAAAATTGTCTATATCTAAAACTGACTTACTCGATGTAATATGTATGTACTAGACTGTATACATTCTTGTCATATGTAAACATAAATAAAGACAATTATATTAGCATCGATTTACTACCATATGTGTATCCAAAAAGTTTATCTAGTTTTACTATATAATATGTATATCTATTAATTCACAAAAAAATGAATCTAATTTTTTTAGGATGAAAAAGGAAATGTTTGTTGCCTATTAACTTTTGGGCGAAAACGTTAATATGACTATTTGATGCCAAGTTCTAAATATTGAACTACAACATGCCAAATTGGATTCTTAGTTGGTAAGCAGTGCCTAATTGTCTTGTTGATACTATTAAAAATACTTTTAAAATTTTTATTCTTCACTTTAGTGACTAATTCTAAATTATTTCTCAAATTCATTAAAGATTATATATACACCAACTAATATAGTATCATAATAAAAGATTATATATACACCAACTAATACAGTAGTATTATAATAAAATATATAATTTATTTACCAGGGTAAATAAGTAAAAGTGAACATAGGTGAAATATTTGAAACTTTATAGAGCATGTTGTTGAAGTTTCAATTGAGAAGTTAAACATCCCACGAGAAGAAAGCTGCTGACCAAGCATTTGTCTGTACTGATCTAAAAGTAGATAGAAATGCTTTTAGCACGCATCGATACAAAAGAGTAAAAAAGAGAATAAAGAGAGATGCTCACATACACTTTAACTCAGTGGTACGTGTTAACTAGTGGATTATCAACGTTCATTTCAACCTTTAATAATATCTTAGTTACTCTGGTTAGGCAAAGATAGGACAGATGGAAAGAATCACTAAGTGTTTTTTTAGTCTCCACTGAGTTTTTGAATCCAAGACCTCAAAGTTCTCAATCATTTCCCTAACCACTAGGCCACACGCTTGGGTGTCATTTAAAGAATAGTTTTTCTTTTCAACAACTTTTGAATTTAAGATCACAATTTTTTTAAAAGATATATAATCTTAATTTAAAGCCGCAAAATTCAAAAGTTTATTATTTTTATAAATTTCATGTCTAAGTAAAATCAGGAAAGTGAGGAAAAATACCTTTCAGTGGTAGCGGCCACCAAATTAGAATAGTATTGAAGAAGCAAGCATGATTCGTACGTGAAGCGTAGTTATAAAAGAATATATATCGATGGACCATTGACACTTTTTACATAGTTTATTTCATACTCCCTCCATTTACTTTTATTTATTCAAAAATAATTTTTTCCTTTTTCTTTTTACTACTTTTAATATATCAAGAAAATATTTTTAAAAAAATCATATTTTACTCTTAACATTTTATCGTACAAAACGTTTTTCTAAGTTTAATAGTACTAAACATCAATTAATATATATGAGTATTATGATAAAATACTCATTTCAATTAGTATAATTTTTAAAAAGATTTACAAAGTTCAAAATAGACAAGTAAAAATAAATAGATGAAATATATATAATTACCTTAGCGGAATTAGGATTCTTCTTTAATGGTAGAGCCACTGTTTGTATATTACCCACAAAAGAGGGGCTAAGCTAAGCTATGCCTAAGAGCCCCTTTGAATCAACTTAAGTAGCTTTTAAATAATTTCAAGTGTTGAAATTTCATTTATATTAAATAAAAACAATTTATTTGTAAAAGCAAAACAGTTGTTAAATTAAAATCCCCAACTTATTGTTTTTGAATTAAAAGCAGTGCACTCTAAATTTTATCAAATACTCCAAAAAAGATGAAAAGAAGTTAATTAGAAGCAATTTTTATCCCATCCAAGCATATGCTGCGTCCTGCGTGCTGTATAAATGGATTATCTTGTGAAATAATATATCATATGTAGGCAAGTAATTAGCATCTATAACAAAATAAACAAATACACCGTAACAAAGAAAAAAAGTGGAGTAACTCGCTAGTGGGGATAAGAGAGTGCTTTGTTTTCATGTGTCTTTAAAACTCTCCCTCCACCCCATATTATATCTTTTTTTGGTTTTCCACCGGTGTTCTATTAACGCCTGACTAAGTTCATATTGTGTACTGTAATTGACACTCTTAATGGAATTTTCTCCATAGCTCGAAGTTGAAATTTATGATTAAAAGTGAAGCAGTCTCATCACTCCATAATATTCCTAACAGACACACAAATGCTCAAGTAGCCAGCCAGCTGAAAGGAAAAATAGTTTATGCAACAATTTAGTCCTTTTTTTTCTTTTAAATCTTGTCACCGCGTGCAAATGATTCAGGCAC